GATCTACCAGTAAATATGTATTCTAATGACCTGCCTGATTGGATACAGATTGATTGAATAGTTAAAGGTAGGTCTTCATTATGTAGATTTGGTTAATCTAAAGTTGATTGCACAAAGGCTATATATGATACATTTAAAGGGTATCTATGACCAAAAACTGAAAATAAATCTGTATTTCTACAGAACTGCGCATGCGATACTTTGCGGCCGCCCGAGACTCTTCAGATGTTGGGACGGGAACGCACGGCGAAGACACAGGTAAGTTTAAACCTGTTTCAAAAGGTTTTTTTTGTTGTTTAAGTTTTTGCATATATCTACTGCCTGCTACCAATAGATATAAAAAAAACGTGAAGGTTTAATAACCCTTTAATGCAGTATTTCCCCACTAAAGGAGATCCCACTACAAAGTCGATCATGCAACTATACTTTTATATATAAAACATATAATTTATTAACAAAATACTTACTCTTAAAACATACGAAAAACATATGCATTGCACATGATTCAAACTCAACTATCGTTGGTAGAAGTAATTCTAGTATGGATCCCTCAAATGTCCGAAACCGTTACAAACATGACTTCATCATAGAAAAAGACTGTGCACAGATTGTAAATGAAAAACGAATCAAAGGGATCCTCTATAGTAACTAATCTGTGTTTATTTATGGGACACATAAATGAGCCGATAAACTCACGATATCGATGTCTTCAAAGTAACGAAAATTCCCGTTCGCATTAGATCTCCAAAAGTAGGAGAGATATATGTGGAAAGTAGCTTCCAAACTGGGAGAGGAAGAAGCAGCACAAGGAGTCACAAGGAGTTGTGTTACAGTGCTCATGAGCTAACAATGGGAATGCTGACAGGAGGTAAGTGCAGATTGACAATTGACTAACCAGTGTCAGACTGAAATGATAAGACCCATAACACCAAAGGTGAAGCTAGAATTCAGCAGACTCAAGCTCTACGCACTGTTGTTGTGCCAATTTGAAGGCCACACAAAGTTTGGAGGTCCATAGCTATTGACTCTGCAGACTTCTCTGGCGTCCTGTCCAGCTCAATTACATAACTGGTTACCAGGAGCTTGGTGGGACTCCAGGCAGAGCGTCCATCTCAGATCCTGGGAGCCAGTGACATCAGTGAGCCAGAGCATCAGAGGTCTTAGAAACCTGGGACTCTCTGGCCGGAAAGGAGGTGGGGTGGGGAGGCCCACATGACCCAAAGATATACCGCCTGATAAAGATGGCCCTCTTAAGCGTTATATAATTTAAAAGTGGCATTAGTAACCATTCCAATAACTTGTACTTCAGGTTCATTTCAGACTTCTTTAAAACAGCATGTGTTGTGGAAATTTTATTATATGGAATTATGTGGATGTGTGTGTTTGTCATCTGTCTCCCTGTGTCGGATGTAACCGAGGAACGCTCTAGCAGAGGGTACTTGAGTTGAATCGGGACCAGCGGTAACACAGTCAGTATGAAAACCTTCTCATGGGCTTGGAGACATGTTCACAGTGTGTCGAGGCGTTTGCCGGTTTGTGAGTACTAAGTGCACTGCGCTGGGCTCCTTGCCCTCAAACTTCTGTACACATTAGTGAAGTGAAGTCCGTATAACGAGATGTGTATTATATTGCGGACTGCGCTATCCATTTTGGATACATATCTGCTTTCATAAGAAGACATTGATAATCTGCCTTGTCCGTATACTCGTACCGTATATAGATAACCGCATTAGCAATGTCTCCTCAGATAGTCTCAAACCTGTAAGAACAAGTAGAATGATCTTATTAGGTACTGGTCACTCTGAGCAGTATTGAGTAGGGTCTATGCTGACGATGATGGGGGATGTACAACCACATGGCTGTTCGGCCATGTTGGTATATTCCCCTTTTGATGTGTACCTGTACTTGCTGGGCTGACTGGCTGAGGTTGTAAAGCCGTCTCCCACTGGGCGTCATCCTATGACCTTAATAAATGAAGGAGCTGGGGGTCTGTGCTGCCCTTTTTTTTTTTACACCGACTCCACGATGAAAACATGTCCTGTGTCCTGACTCTACAGAGGTACATCCGGTCCTCACACAAAATAGGTTAATACAACTGTGCTTTTAAGCACGGGGGAAATTCTTTGTGTTTGGCATGGATTTGTGCGTTAAACCAAGCAAATTTCCATAACACATGAAATATGAGTGAAGTAGATTAACATTTGCAACTAATCAGATAAATAAATTCCTGTGCTGCAGATTTTTTTTTTTTTAACAGACTGATGAATCATGAAAATATTTTATAGCCTGAAGCATCAGATCATCTTAGAGATAAACTGCTCTCATCAGCAGAAAGCTCTGTTACTAAAGTTGTCCAGACCTGGCAGAAATATTCCAGAGAATAACCAGATCACTCATGTTCCCACTGACAAACATCACACTGAATACAGTAATGTAGGCAAAAAGCAAAAACACAGGTTGCTAGCACCATGTGCTAAAATCTATCCAGCATAAGATTTTTGTACCTTTATATTTTACTCACATTTACATGGTGTGTTTAGGCAATTGCAATAAATAGTACATTTAATCCAACAACTGCCAGCTTAATTTGAGGGGTTCACAAGTGCAGCCTGTGAATACTACAGAAAAGTGTCAGACTATGGACATGTTAAAAGAGATGGTTAGAGAGCAGTGGCACAGCAGTGGGTGAAAACTAAACAATCCTTGTGTCTGATCATCCCCTGCAGCACATTTCCATACAACTATTAGAGATCAGTACCAACACAGTGTCTTTGCACATCAGTGCTCCCATATTTGGTTCCCCTATGACCCCCTTTGAATATTATAATCACCATATTAATATTCTCCGAGCAAGAACCAGTTAGAAACTAAATCCCGGGGGAGGGGTTGCTTTTTATATTGTTGCAGGTCACATACTGACAAGGTCTCCAACTGAAAAAGCAAATAGGGAGGGAAAAAACCCAGTATCTACTGGCTGCTGGGGTCAGAGGGCCACCCAGCAAAATAATAAAAAAAGTGGCTGAATTTTGGAAACCAGAAATTTAAACCAAGCGAATAAAATGTGATCATTGTAAGAACCCTTGGCAGTGTATCTCAAACGCTGTCAATGTTGCTTTATCTGGACAGCTTGATCAAAATCCACTGCGTGCTGTCATGGTACAGACATGGTGAGTACAGGCTTTATGATCCAAATATTTGGCTTACACTGATTTTGGTATATTCACCCACGGCTATTCAGTATGATGCCCACTGCTGCCACTAACCTATAATGGTCATAGAGATTTGATTCTTCTTCTTTGTACATGTATAATTTGCATTATGTTGGTATAAGTATACTTATGTATAAAAATTATAGTCGGAACAGTAATTGTTTTCTCAATTGAAAAATGCATTTCATTATCGGTCTGAAGGAGTTTTTTTAAGGTCTATATTAAGTTTTGAATTTTGGTTTGCATTTTATGGAGTAGTGTTCAGTTGTGGCTTTAACATTTTGCAGCAGGTCCTTAATTGTTCTACCTGCAGCGTTCGTACTGACTTGAAAATTTTGAGGTCCACCTTGAGAAATGGGTTTAGTTAGGGTTTTTTTTGTCACATCTGCCTGACATTATTATTGTGGCCTTTTATCTCGGTATGCTTATTCATTATCCATTACAAACCTTTGTATGAAATGCTTGTGTAATTATTAGGGCTGGTAATTTTTTTTGAATCAATTATAATGCACATACAGATCCAACTACATTGGCCTATACACATACAGCACAGCAATGAAGTAATAAAATGAACTAGGATCACACTAATCCAGCACGTTATCTCACGTGCCCCACTCAATATGGCCGCCGCTTGAGTGGGGCAACTCAGAATAATAACATGCTGGATTAGTGTGATCCTAGTTAATTTTATTACTTCATTGCTGTGCTGTATGTGTATAGGTCATTGGCTTGGCTGGCGCTCGTGCAGAAAGTTTCTTGGGCAAACTCACCGGCCCAAGTGGCTCCGTCGGCTAACCAAGGGAAGGGGGAGGAGTCCTGTGACGTCACGGACATCACAGCCACCGGACTCCTCCCACTTCCCTTCGTTAGCCGACTGTCACGCCACTCTAGTAAGTCGCTAGGATCACAGCTGCGGAAAGGTGTTCTTGACGGCTAGTCAGTATGTGGCCTCAATCCTTTCCAATGGTGTAGCGGAGGAAAGAGGACCCATTACATCATCAACCGTTAATGGTACAGTAAATAGCTGGGATTCAACCCCAGAGCTGGTGGGGGTGTATGGTAATTTCCCCCAGCAGTAGGGATGGAGTAGTTACAGGTTAGTAGAGGTTAGAACCTTATATGTATTAAAGCGGCGTCTTCAATGGTGGAGAGATCCGGGACAGCAGGAGAACCAGCACAGCATGCGACTGGCTGGTATACACTGCACTATAGAAGGACGTCACGGGACTCCTCCCCCCTTCTCTTTGTTAGCCGACAGAGCCACTTGGGGAAGGAGTCCGGTGATGTCGATGTCCGTGATGTCCCAGGATCTCAGACGGAAGACCCTGAAGCCGGCGGAGAGGTGAGTACCGATCCAAAAAAATTTAATCGATCAAAAAAAGTAACGATTAATCGAGGAATTAATCGTTAATTTCCGCAGCCCTAATTATGTATATCACCTTGTTGCTGCTTGCTAATACAGTTAGTTTTGTATTGCCTTTTGTATACCATTTGTATCAAATCATCAATACAATACTTTTACATTGAAATTGGGTGCGCATAGTTTATAACTACATACTGTATATTAATGAATTACTGGAAGGTGGGTGGGCTCCCCGAATATGATTTAGCACCCCTATGCTATAATGCTGGTTGGTGAGTGGAATGCCATCTTTAAACATCCTTTATTTTACAAAATTGGTATGTATACTACATAATATAATTGGGTAAATTAAATCGCATACAGTGATCAGAATGCAATATTTCTATGCATACACATTTCCTTGTGCACACAAAAATGGGAACTCGTACCATCAAATCTGTTTGGAGAATCGCATCCCTTCTGGGGTGTGGCCACACGCAGGAAAATCTGCTGCCTCCAAGAATGTCGCCGTGTTCTTACAGGGCTTGTAGTTTCCACCTCACTGTTGATGGACGTGCAGTCAAAGTCACTAAAAAAGATTAGAATGTATAGTCACATACTCCCGCACAACACAGAATACAGCACTCCCTGGTTTTAGGAAAGGATGGTCCCTTGAGGAGCCAATACTCTTACACTACCACATTGTGGAAAGAGGTTTTGATGCTTCCCAGAATCAAAACAGTTAGAAAAGAAGCTTTAAAAAAATGACATCTTACTGTGATGGTTTTATTCAGTAAGGCAGTACAAAAGCAATGATTATTTCAAAAGTGCATTAACACCCAGCCAGGAAGAGGGGCTTCTGGATCTTGCACAGTCACAATGCTCTATACCAGGGGTAGGCAAACTCCAGCCCCCCAGTTATTGTGAAACTACAAATCCCATGAGGCATTGCAAGACTGACAGCCACAGACATGATCCAAAGAGTCAGATATATGATGACATTTGTAGCTTCAACATAGTTGGAGGGCCGGAGTTTTCCTACTCTGGATCTATATTGTCTTACTGAATAGAGCACAATATTTTTTTTAAACATCTCTTGACCCATACTACACATATTAAAAAGGTAGCAAATTCATATCACGAAACTTAATAAAACTAATAATCATTCGAGATCAGCACTATTTAAGTGCAACCAATGAATGGGTAAACATGAAATTTGTTTTAATTGTTAGAACAAGTGCAATATTATTCATTATAATAGTAGACAAACTAGCAAATCTAGGTCAAAAGTACATATGGCATGTGAATGATTCTAATACTTTTACTTTGGAAAATGTGGATCCTAAGGTTTATATTAACAATATGCTTCAAGATATCGGAAGAGCCCCTTTTATTCAGGTACCGCATTATTAAGGCGATATGCTCTCAAACAGCTTCAGGGCTTGTGTTGATGGTCAAATGCAACATATACCTTTAGAAGCATTCACTTACATTTGAGATCATTTACACTTAAACAGGTTCATTGGGCTGACCTACTAAGCTACTTCATGCTGATTTTCGCATTCCCATTGGCTTTTATGAGGTGAGCAAAAGTTCTGATGAAAACAGAAGCCCAAGGACACAGACCCTTATTGTGCTGACATTTATCCTCCATCAATAGAGGAGAATCACATCCCTGGGCGCACGATCGATGCATCCAGGGATAGTGATTGATTCCTAACCACCCCCGAGCCATCTTGTTTCCTAGTGGCCAACTCCTGCAGGTGGCTATATACCTAGTAGACAATTAACTAACGCAGAACTGTGTCCGCCAATGAATAAAAGAGAAAAAAAGTTTCAGATGCTGAACATAATTTAAAAAAGAAGAAGATCTAGAAACCCACTGTACACGCTCTTTAAGGACAGACATTAGATCATAAAGATACAGTACACATTTTTGCTGTGAGTAATCATTACATTTCCTGAAACTTGGAAATTAAAGTAAACCTCTCATGAAAAAAAAAATATAAGGGCCGACCACCACCTTTAAATAGCAGTCAACCTCCTGTTGTGCTGATTATAGCTACATTATACACTATTAGTACATTTTGAGTAAGTAACCCAAAATATGAAAAATGATCCTAAAAAGTCAGAGAGAACAGTTCTAATCTCCGTATAGTACTTGCTTCATGTCAGTGGTAACATATTCATGCCAGAGTCAGCAAGGCAGCTAGGCAACTAGAATTTTTAGAAAGAGGTAGCAAAAGCAGAATTCATTTTAGTATAAGGAGTGAAATCTCTGCAGACCACTCTAAGGCTGGGCACACACCTTACAACCATCGCAAGACTTTTGTCTTGCGATGGTTGTAAGGTACTTTAAAAAAACGTACGATCTGCCTATCTTGCATAGGCAGATCGTACTTGCGATGATCGCAAGCCACGACCCCTGAGGGGCGGGCTTCCGATGACCGCAATGCCCAACGGGCAGTGTGCGCTTGCGCACACCGGCCCGTCCGCCTTTCATCTTACGAACATGCTACACACCCGCCGAACATCGTACGATGCTCAACGGGTTTTGAAACATGGTCGTAAGTTTAAAGTCGTGCGACCTTACAGTAGTATAGGTCGCACGGTTTCCACACACCTTACGATAAATCGTACGATCGCAGGATTTCCCACGATTATCGTAAGGTGTGTGGGGACCTTTATAAAGACACCAAAAAATTGTATTACTAGTTTTCCTGAAAATTCCCTTTTGAGAAGACAGGACATCTTTCCTTGCGAGTGACAGAGACAGACAGTGCAGAGACCTACCGTTCCTTGTCAAAGTCAGAAGAGCTATTTTCTGCTACAGGAGCCAAAAACTTTAGGAAGTTTGGCACAGAGGAAGAAGAGTGAAGTTTCTTGCGAAGAGAGGAAGAACGGTAGAAAAGGCTGAAAGCATAGTTCAGAAGAAGGAAAAGTGAGAAGAGAAACGAAAACACGGATCAGACATGACCAGCTGTAAAATCCAACCCATCCACAGCCCAAATATACAGCATCACATTCAAAGTTCTCCCATTGATCACCTCTTGTCTTAGGAAGTAATAAACCAGCTCTCACTATTTCTATTCTATAGCCCTCACTATATTTCTAGAGTCTGTTAAAAGAGACAGTCACCAGACCATGGGGCTGTCTGTTAATTACTTGATATTTCAGGGCTTTTTAAGTGATTCTAATGTTCCCATAAGATTATATGCATATTTTATTTACTTGCAAAAAGCTCCTTTGTGCAGACATGCAAAAAGTGAACATTGAAGCATTAACTTCCCCTCCAAAAAAACAATGTCTAAATTGTTCCTAATTCTTTATTGGTAGTAAATGTAAAATTGAGGCAAATACAGTCTCACAATGCCCTTCTCCTCTTGAATATTTTAGGAGAGTTTGGCCTTCTGTTAATGACAGACCCGGTCATTAAGAAAATGTATTTTTCTGCAGCACAGCAAGAATGATCATTTTAGAGTTAAAAAGAGATCAGAGAAATGCAATATACTTTGTGCTGTACAACACCATTACTTGCTCATTTCTGAACAGTTTCGTTCTTCAAAATCATTAACAAAAGCAAAGATTTTTAGGTGCATTTGTGTGATACTTCTGGTGTTGACTAAACCCTTACTCAAAAAGATAAAAGTGACCAAGACCGACCACCAGATATGCTACTGTCAGTAATATAACAGACTGTCCCCAGATAATTACAGTTTATTAACATACCCAAAACAGGGAGTGACTGCACCACAAACCACATTTGCATGCACTTCAAACAGTTTTCTTGGGTTTCCTAAAGTTTTACACAATCCAACTCCATCCCATGCTTAAATAACCACAAGCTAGCAATCGTTATTTGTTTCTACTATGTGATATTTAAAAACACATCAAATACCTGTACAAGCCAAGTATACGTGCAGAAAGAGTTCAAATGGAAAAAGACTTACATTGCAACCGAGCAGTTACATGCAGAACAAACCTAATGAACACAGATCTCTGCTCACCTCTTCTGTGTGCCTACTGAAGTGGGGTCTCCACTTGAGTTGTGCCTTAGCTTCCTGAGAATTAAGGGGGATGCTGTTGCAGATGTAGGAAAAGAAGTGGCAGCAGCTTGCTCACACTGTGCTGTACTGCTCTCAGGCACATTCGGGTCTGTGCTGGAACTAGACACCAGCATTCCAGCCAACCAGCGAGGGGAGGGGTGAGAAGACACATTTCAGCAGAGGTAGGAATTGCACCGCAGGTAAACAGATGGAAGTCTTCAAAAAGAAGACTGATTTGTTTGCATAGACAGATTATATGCACTTATCTACAAACATTCACACATTCTCTGCAAACAGACCCTACATTGCCAGCCAAGTATATTAAAGGACATTATACTGCAGACATCAGAATACACAGTTCTGCATACATTGTACTAGTCTATAGCAGGGAACAGTAAGCTGTGGACATAGCTTCCTTTTCACCAGTTTTTCTCCAGTATTTTTCTGTCCTTCTTTCCATAGCATACAGGTGATGATTGAATGAGCTAGGCGGCCACAATTTTTTGTTCGGAGATCTACTTTTCAAATTATGAGCTCAATGAGATCTACCAACGAAAAATCACCTGCATTCAGGGGCGGTAGGGGGCGTGGCGGTGCATTGCAGTGCGATCGCCTGCACCTGTGTTCCAGTCCAGTGCGGTCCGGAAAAATGCTGCAAGCACTATTTTTGCAGATCGCACTGGACCGGAATGCAGGCACTAATGTGCCTGCATTCCAGTTGCAGGCGATCGCACTGTGGGCAGGGGGGCATGGCTCCGCGGCCCCATTGACTTCAATACAACCCCACACCCCTTCCTGCCCCTGAACGCAGGGAGTTGGCCGGCTTACATTCCAGTGTGTCCTAGAGGCCCCAGCGTCCTTCCGCGGTGCTCATGTGGCTGACGTTGCACATGGGTAGAGGTGTCCCGCCCCTTTCCATCTGCAGCGTCTGCCACATTCAGCCGGCAGCCGCACGAGCACCTCGGGAGCATAGCCGGAGCCAGGTTCTTTTGCACCAGTGGCAAGAAGAAAAAAACGTGTTTTTTTTTTTTTACTATTTTTTATTTTTATTATTTATTTAAATTTTGTTTTTTTTTACTCTTCGGGGAAATATTAGGGGTCTAAACAGCCCCCTGATATTTCCCTTTTAAAATAGAAAAAGAAATTGGAGGACACGGAGCCTCTGTCACAGAACTAAGGTCGAGCAGTGAGGGGAGAGAGAGGCACCGGCTGTCAGAACCTGGCCGAGCGTCTCTCTCCCTCTCTATCTCTCCTCACCGTTTGGCCTTAGTTCTGTGACAGCGGCTCCCTCCTCCGCCGCGGGCTGCAGTGGTTCTTTCACTTCTCGTATCCCTGCTGCATACTGGTGGGGAGAGCAGCGGGGATCCAGTGAAGCACCACAGGAGAGGGCATCGTGATCTACCACTAATCTCTACGCGATCGACTGGTAGATAGTGATCGACCTTATGGGCACCCCTGAGCTAGGCTGAAACCATTAAGTGGTAGATGCTAGCAGATCTGGGTTCAAGGTAAACCTGGTGTATTTATTTATCTATTACTAGTGCTTTGATCCACCATAGTCATTCTCACCCGTCACATAAAAGGGGAAGGTAGAGTGGCATTTTTATTACTGGAAAGGGGAATGCAAAGCTTGCCATAAGGCCTGCACATTCTAGATAGGACTGTGGTATAAATTAGGCCTTCTTTCCATGACAGATCAGAAGTTTTGTGCTTCAAAAGACCCTTAGGGCTTGTTTACAACAAATGCAGAACAGATCTGCATGAGTTTCTGCACATGCAGTGAAGTGGGGTTTTCCGCATTTTTGATGTGTTTCCGGCCGTTTTTGTAAAAATTATTTATTTTTTAGCCTACAATGCACTTTCAGTGCACTCCAGGGGTGTTTGCATGCGTTTTTGAGCGTCCCAGTGCAAGAAAAATAGGGCTTGCTGCAGTTTTTTTTTTTACATGCTGTGGAACTGAACGCTGCGGTGTGAACTAGAGCCCAAAATACCATTGGAATACATTGGATGCAGTTTTGATCCGTTTTCCAACTGCTCTGCTCCTGGAACGCGCTTGGTGTGAACTAGCACTTAGAGAACTACTACCTGCCCTATCATATACTTCTTGTAAAAGAAGAATACAGGAAGTAAAATGGAGTATTTGGAGTTTCAGCCTGATGGAGAGATTACACGTTCAAAAAAACAATAAAGAAGTTCCATTCATTTAGGAGGGAGGAGTGATAAATAGTTGTGTGTTCTATTCCAAATAAAACGCTTACCTTGAAAGCGTTTTATGGTTACCTGTGCGTTGTGGTAATTACCTCAATGCACAGTAACACAGCATCCAATGCAATACCATTAATTTAAATGTCAACAGACCTGTACTGCCGCACACCAAAATGCATGTGCCTGTCTGTAATCTCTGGCTTAGGAGCTCATACCACCAACCCACCCCTTCAGACCTCTGCTGCTAGTCAGGAGGACTGCTGCCAGCATCTGGGGCTACAGCCAACAGCTCCACAGCAGAGGCAGCACTCTCGACCGTGCATGCAAACCCACTTACACCATGCCAACATTCTTCCCCGTCACCACTGTGCCTGCAAACTCATCACCATTCCCTCTAACCCCCATCCTCACTTTCCACCACCACTCTCCCGCATGCCCCCCTTCACTCGCCACTTTATTGATGCCCCCCTCTCTGCATACAACAGCATACTGTACTTGTTACCAATGCAATGATGCACACTTCTGTATTCAAGCACACTTTTGCTCGTCACCAAACTTTAATTAGACCTATTAAAGTAGATATAGAAAACTCCAATATTTTCATAATCATTGCATCAACTACATAAAAACCAGTGCCATTTTCTTTTAGCTTTCACATCTTGGGTTCCATACCAACCAAGGACACTATCTAAACATAGAGATCGATTGTTCTCCTCGAGTCCCTGCTGGTTTACACTGGTTACTCTGGCTTTACACAATCTAGTTAGTAACGTTTGGTGACAAAATAGCAATATATAAATGGATAAAACGGACGAAATAAATAAAATTGCCACACTTTTGCCGATCATGATACTCAGACATCATACATACATTATCTATGAGAACACAGCTTAGTTTATAATGGGACCAAACATACTGTACATGTAAAGGCTTTAAACCAAATACGTGCACACAAAATGCTGTGTAGTGTATGTGGCATGTTTGCTTTACACTGATTGAATCTGGTTATCTGGAGACGTGTCCTTCTATAGTCAATGGAAAATTAATAATCTGTACACACAGGTAAGCTCCATCATGAAAAAAAAAAAAAGCTTCTAAAACCACAAGCATAACTGGAATGGATCAAGTTTTACAAGGAAACATTTCATTTTCACGCTTCGATTACTACAACAATTACAGACTGTTTATATGCATATACAGTTTGCTCAAAAGTTAGCATACCCTGGGAGAATTGGTAACATATGTAACATTTTTTTTAAAGAAAACACGAGTGAGCAGGCAAAAACACATCTCTTTTGGGATTCATATTTAACTATAGGTCATAACAGAATGGCACAATCATAAAACAAAACATGGCAACAAATAAAGAAATTAAGTGACCCCTGTTCAAAAGTAGGGCTGCAACAACTAATCGACATAATCGATTATAATCGATTATTGAAAAAGTTGTCAACTTTTTCAATCATCGATTAATCGGCTTCTGATTGGTTGACTCCGTTCACCTCTCCACAGACGCTGTGCGCCACACCTCCTCCTCCCCACCTCACGCTCTCCACTGCCAGACCCGCCCACCCGCATCCACACGCCGCACCTCCTCCTTGCGCCTCACGCTCACCGCCCGCATCCACGATCGGCACTGGGACGCGGGGAGAAAAAGTAAGGAGGAGCAGGTGTGGGCGGATGACCGCCACCGATAGACAGGCCCGATCTCAGATACGAGTTGCTGGAAGACTGCTCAGGTAAGCCTGCAAACATGGTGCTCTATAATGTATTGCTGGGATTTGTATTCCTCTGTAGCTGATGGTACATTGTGCTGTATATTATACAGAGCAATGTACCATCAGCTATAGAGGAATACAAATCGCAGCAATACATTGTACACTGTATGTATAACGTATTGCTGGGATTTGTTGTATCCCTATATAGCTGGTGGTATTCTGCATTAATAATACATTATACAGCGCAATGCAGAATACCACCAGCTGTAGAGGAATACAACAAATCCGAGCAATAATACATTATACAGCGCAATGCAGAATACCACCAGCTATAGAGGACTACAACACCCAGCAATAGTACATTATACATCGCAATGCGGAATACCGCCAGCTATAATGTATTGCTGGGATTTGTTGTATTCCTCCTATAGCCGGTGCCATTCTGCATTCATTGCTGTATAATTTTACACTTTTCATTTCACTATATTGCACACCACAGTTTTTTTCTCTTTTACTTCCACCGATCCAAGCTTGCTCCTGTGATCCACTGCAATCTTAATACAAACTAGTAGTCCCATCACTGGAGCCATTCTTTTAAAAAAAATGTTTTATTCAATTAACCGATTAAATCGAACTTAATAATCGGCTAACTAATCGATTTTGAAAATAATCGTTAGCTGCAGCTCTATTCAAAAGTCTGCATACCCTTTAATACTGTGTATTGTCCCCTTTAGCATCAATGACAGCCTGCAGTCTTTTGTACTGTTAGGCCTGGTTCACACCTGAACGTTTTGTAGCGCGTTCAACGCTCGACGAGCGCTCTACAAAACGCTCAAACATCTAAATCCCATTGTATTCAATGGGTCTGGTTCACACCTTGCTGTATTTCCGCCCGTCCGAACGCGATACAAAACGGCCTACGCCCAAAGAAGTACATGTACTTCTTTGGGGCGTTTTGGTCTCGTGTTTCCATTGGGATACAGCCAAGTAGCCCTCGGAAACGGGCGTTTGTCACGCGTTTTTTTACCGCGAATCGCGGTAAAAACATGCGACAAACGCGCAAATTCAATACGTCTAGGTGTGAACCCAGCCTAATAGTGGTCTATGAGGCCCTGAATTGCAGGTGGTATAGCTGCCCAATCATCTTGGCAAAATGCCTCTAGGTCATGCAAAGTCTTTGGTAGCCTTGCATTAATCGCAGGTTTGAGATCTCCCCAGAGTGGCTCAATGATAGTAAGTCAGGAGACTGTAATGACCACTCCAGAACCTTTTTCTGCTGTAACCGCTGGAGGGTTAATGTGGCCTTGTGCTTAGGGTAATTGTCGTGCTGGAAAGTCCAAGCGTGCAGCTTTCATGCAGAGTAATGCAAATCGTCTGCCAGTATAATCTGATGAAATGCTACATTCATCTTGCCATCAATTTTAACAAGATTCCCCATGCCTTTAGAGCTCCCCCTCCCCCCCTCAAAAAAATGTTTTTTTATTATTGTCGCTTTAGGCATTGTTGACCCCTCTCCAAACAAAGTGCTTATGGTTGTGACCATAAAGCTCTATTTTGGCCTTGTCACTCCAAATTACAGAGTGCCAGAAGCTGAGACATGTGTCAAGGTGTTAACAGGCATATTGTAACCGGGCTATTTCGTGGCATTGGCGCAGTAAAGGCTTCTTTCTGGCAACTTGACCATACAGCTCATTTGTATTCAAGTGTCATCGTAGTGTGCTCCTTGAAACAACCACACCGTCTTTTTCCAGAAGAGCCTGTATTTCTCCTGAGGATACCTGTGGGGTCTTTCTTTGTATCTTGAACAATTCTTCTGGCAGTTGTGGCTGCAATCTTTCTTGGTCTACCTGACCTTGGCTTGGTATCAGGAGATCCCTGAATTTTACACTTCCTAATAAGTGATTGAACAGTAATGACTGGCATTTTCAAGGCTTTCAATATCCTTTTATATCCTATTCCATCTTTATAAAGTTCCATTACCTTGTTACGCAGGTCTTTTGACCTGTACCCAATGGCTCAGTATCTAGCCAGCTCAGTGCATCCATGTGAGAGCTAACAAACTCATTGACTATTTTTACACAGACACGAATTGCAATTTAAAAAGCGACAGATGTGGGAAATTAACCTTTAATTGCCATTGTACCACCTTGGGTGTTTGTAACAAGGCCAAACATTCCAAGGTATATACACTTTTTGTCAGGGCAATTTGGGTGATTTCGGTTATCATCATGATTTTAAAAAAGGAGCCAAACAACTATGTGATAATAAATGGCTTCATATGATCACTATCCTTAAATAAAAGACAGTTGTTTGGCATGGCCAGTCATATTTTCAATATCAATGCCAAAATGTTACAATTTCTGCCAGGGTATGCAAACTTTTGAGCACAACTGTATACGTACAAACATTCAAACTAACCACATTGCCTAGGTTGTACTGTAAACTGTCTCAACTGATCCTAAACCTTTATGCAGGAAGACAACAAAAAGATGTGTCCAATGTACACAGCAAGTGTCAATATTATTCTGTGATTTTTCTGGTCCTTTCATAATGAAATCTTGTAGTTGTCAGATCCATAGCAGAGAAAGCATATAATAGTATCAAGCTGTATTATATGAGATATAGTTCATTGCACCCACAGAATTTACCTGGTGGCTTTTTATTACCATTTTTCTGCTGGAAGTTACATGGTAACGCTATGCATGAGCTACGCAGACATTAAGAATAATTGAAGCATGTAAATCTTAAAGGAGGTATTGGGAGAGCAAATATACTCTTCCCAATACTTAAAGCTAGTTTGCGACATTGCAGCTATCACAGCTCAGCTCTACATAACAAGAGATGAGTGATCACAAACCGATGATCACTCGGCTCATGGCCTCTCCAAGCCTCAGTATAGTCCCAGTTAATTCTATGAGCGCTCACTGCACAGGCACAGCTAGTGCTGAAGAAGATTTGTTCTTGGAGTATCTAAATAGTGTAGGAGATATGCTGAGTTACAAAGGTAGCTGGGTGGGGGTGAGTTTCTAGGATTGTTACATTAGGGGAACTGAGGAATGTTGGGACTAATGAAAATTTCTGCTGCCTTTATGGTGCAGCTCTGCCGAGGACTTCTACCAAACTGTGAACAATGTCCCCACTACATAAACATAAACCTAACTGTAAACTGTCCTAATGTAATTTAGTGTAGGCAGCTTTAGGCCGGGTTCACACCTGAGCATGGTGGGTACGCACTTCCCATCAGAACACGTTTTCACTAGTTTGTATGCCGTGTTTGCCACGTGCCCCTATTGATTTTTAATGGATCCCTATACGTGCGGCAAAAAAGCTCCTATAGTATTTTCCCCGACATGCGTTCCACGTTTTTTTTATTCCGTGTTTGTGCATGCTTTCACCTGTGCCATTAGAAGACCACCACAAGCACGTTTTGCCGTGTTTCTGCAAACACACACCAATTGCGCACGAAAACCTGCCCTTTGGTGCGCATTCACGGAACGCGCAGGTGTGAATGGGGCCATAAAATTATATCATGTGCTTCAGAGAAAATGAGGGGTTAACCATCAAATCTGTTCTTACACCCACTTACTCCTTGTAAAGCAAGATGACACACAGGACACATGCCACAAAGAACAGTGTGTATTTACAGCACACAAAGTCAGTCTGCAGCCTCCTGGTGAAATACCCACTACTAATCACGACTACTGAAGGACCCAGGTTCTCATATTATCTGTACTGGTGTGTCACTCTACATTATTCAACATCTCAAGACAATGGTGCCACTTTCTTAACACTTAAGGAAAAAAAAAAAAAAAACAGCTGCTGCAAATAGCAACCAATAATGTCTCAATCATAAGAAAAAAAATAGGACATCTAATTGGTTACTATGGGCAACACGTAGAAAAGGCTGATCCTAGACGAGCAGATTTCACCTGGAGAATAATAGGTGGAAAGATAGCTGCCTGTGCTTTATTGACCTACATGTACAGGACACACCATGATCCTTGTCCAACACAGTTAGCAATACATGCATCTTTTTTGTGACCTTTCAGACCTTCTCTAAAGAAGGCTGTGAAGTTTCTCATTCATCCAGGTCATGGTATATCTGTAAAAAATAAGCAACTGGCTGTATTTTTCTGAATTGAGAAAGCTGGTTGGATGACCAGTGAAACGTCTTCAAGAAAAATACAGCAAGTCCAGTTGCCTTGACTTATTTTTTAAAGATATTCTCTACAGAAGATCAGTTAGGACACACCATGTTCCATGTCCAACACAGTAAGCGATACATGCAGAGAAGACCAGTGTTGCTAGTTGTTAACAAGCCCTTTATAACCAACATACCAGTCCAATTATTATTTACATTTTATTTTTTAAAGATCAGCCTCCTCATATGTTCACAAGCAGCTATGTCACCAACCTCCACAGAAGCAAAATACTCCACAGCTTAAACACTTCAGTTGTTTCAGTAACACAAAACAAACAGCAATTCAATAGTAACCCAGAAAACCGCATCTCTGACTACAATAAACTAAGATCCGATAGGTTACATTGTTTTATTTGCTGTACTTCTATATTGTTCTTACTGAATAAGGCTAGAGCGAGGGTAAGGTACAGCAATTAACTAATTCAGTCTGTGTGTCGATCTATACATCTTATAATGAAACAAGGGCAATTATGGAATCCTAATGCTGGCAGCTTTCGCAAATGTTTCAAGTGTTCCTTTGCTCCAGGACCTGGACATGAGGCCAAATCAATGAAGGTAACACCATGAAATTGTTTTTTTTTTTAAATGTTTGCTTGGAGAATAAAAATATACTAAGGTGTAAAATATGGCAAAATATATAAATCTTGAATACATTTTCATAGAATAAAAAGGTAAAAATCAAGAAGAAGAGGAGGCAGTTTTTTTTTAATATTAACTGTATTCGCCTTATTTTAAATCCTGGTCATCTGTGTGATTTCACCAGATATTGGATCTTTAAGAGGGGCTTTAACGAACAGATATGGGAGGATTTTGCTGTGATAATTTCACGGGAGAAGTATTTGGATCACAATACAGACTGCTTTGTGCTCTGTTGGTTTTCATTCTTCAACAACAATAGAACATTGCCTTTAATAACACAATAAAGAGAGTACTCACTTTCTTTTATGCGGAGTCTCCGTGCTCACAGAGTGATGTCGCATGAGCTTTCTCTGTGGAACAGATGGGGTTTTCTGCACAGGCTCTGGAAAATCCTGAGCTGTTACAGGAAAGTGACTCAACGTGTTAGCTCGGCGTCTGAATCCTTGATGAGATAATTCTCCAGGATGCTCAGAGGGGAAGCTCTCCGATCCCTTTGGTAGGTCACCCATGGAACCATGCGCCTTTAGAGGCATTTCGAGAGATAACGCTGCCTCTATCTCACACAAGGAAGGCTCCTGAAATTTAGAAGATATTTTTTACTGAAAACAATAAACATATATTGTTACAATACTGCATAGAAAAGGCAACAATCGTATAAGGGGCCCTGTCAGTTACAGCTTTACAGTCTAATAGGGGAAAGAATGACAAGAAACGCTTCTAAGACTTGGAGAGGAATCCTGTGCTAAATGCAACACAAAAACAGCTTAACTACTAGTGTGTGTACCCTAAAGGTGCATCACAGCAGAAGTCCTGGATAAGATGTGTACCCTAAAGGTGCATCACAGAGAAGTACTGGATAAGAGAGCAGTAGATGGTAATAAGGAAGGAGGACAAGATGTAAGAGCAATGTGAGCCACACTTTGTAAGAGCACACTTTGGTGTATAAATGAGAAAAAGGGAAGAGACCTGGACAATTGGATTTGGAATTGAACTAATGAATGCCAATAATAAAAACATTCCACAGCCTATTTGTAGAGTTGGTAAGGATTAGAATATCAGTCAGTATTTTATTGCTGCCTGTGTCCCTACTGAGACAATTCTAATCAGGACAGGAAGGATTTAAACAATATAAGTAACTCATACGCTAGGAAACTTAAA